AACCTTCGATCTTTCGGTTTTCGTGTTTATCATGTTTTGCAAATCTTCCGGTTTTTAGCATTTGGTTTACCGGCGGTTTTCGTAAAAAATACTGAAGGGGTTTTCGGATGCCTCTGTATGCTAAATTTTGTCGCCGCAACCAATCTCTAGAGACAAAGGTAACAATGGCGAAAGGAACAAATGCTGGTGGACGAACAGAAGGAGCTAGTGAGATATCTTCTGTTTAGTCCACCAACATGGCGGCAATGACGTAACGTGCAAACCACCTAATAGGTGGTTTGCGACCAATCTCTAGAGAAACAGGTAACAATGGTGAAAGGAACAAATGCTGGTGGACTAACAAAAGGAGCCAATGAGATATCGATTGTTTACATCCACCAACATGGCGGCAGTGACGTAACGCGCAAACCACCTACAGAGTTGCGTAACCGTTTCCGTAACTTATTGGAGCATTGAATATTCATAACACGTAACACAGTGCAAATGTGGAAATTGTCCTATAATATGTTTGCGGAAAATAAATCGATTTCAAAAGTTTATTGTTGTTTTCAATCCGCCCACGTGAGGTGGACGATTTAAACACGGACCATGTTGTCGTGCATTTGTAAACGGATTGAAGGACGTTGGCCGGTGAAATTGTACACAATATTACATAAGTAAACATAACAAGTTAAGTGAATAAAGGCTGATAGTTTCGAAAGAAACTGTTTGGGGCTGCGTCGGTGGGAGTAACGAGATAATTTGGATATATCAACAAAGTTCAAATGGTAAATTGGCCACCGTAACGATTACAAAAGCTGACGTTTCGAGCGTTAGCCCTTCGTCGGAGTTAAGGACTGATTAGGATAATGGGCAAAACCAGAGAAACAGGGCCACTTATTTACATCTCATTGAATCACAATGCATCCTTTTGTTTTCTGCCTCGTTCTTCAAAGCATGCCGACAAGGTGGACCTTGATAATGTTACATGCCTGGTTACTTGGTGAAAACAAAGTTCATTATTCATTTCGGCTGCTATTTGACTTACGGACTATTTTAAATGAATCGACGGAATTACGCATGAAATGAGTTGGAATGCAACGAAGGCCATCAAGAAAGTCAAGCTGATCAATTGTGTTTTGACTACGAAGCTTCGACTGTCGCAATGCTCGTCTTCGATATGCGACGAGATCGAAAGTTCGTATGAGAAGCTATGTATGTTTAGTAATGAGAAGGATCGATGCTAGTAGCATTTTTCATATCATAAGCTCAATATATATGATATGAAACTAGATACTTCGTTAGGTGGTCTGTCTGAGGATGGGGTCTTGGACTCTTTTACAGACCATCCTTATGGCATTTCCTTTGTTATAAGTAGTTATTTTATTTTTTCAATTGCCATTAAATCGTAAAAAATAACAAAAGCTAATTTCACACATACTCTATCGTAGCTTAGTGAATTTTTCATCGCTAACCATTTAAATCTTAAAAGGCCAACGGCGAGGCAAAACCCGTAATCCTGTTTTTATTTACACAAACACTTTAAACATTTTGGGCTGATTATTATCAGAAGTAAACAAAATGCCAAAGGATCTTGAATATATGTTTATTCTGCAAGAGCGTTCTTTGACAATGAAGATTTTCGTAAAACCCGACTTATCGTGATCAGGGAATATCACTGTATTGTATTTTCGCCTATGGTTGAGGAGCAAAGATTTTCAGAAATTCCACAATAAACGATATCTGTCGCTCTAGGGGCTAATTTTTATCCTTCTTGGGCGTGACCTCCGCCAAATACGGCAATAGCATCTCAACTGTCAATTTGCATGCTCGACCCCAGAGGCAAAAGGGTGGCACCTGTTTGAACCAGCAGCTGCTTTTAAAATGTCCAGATGTTTTCACTATACTTACACAGAATATTTCTGGTTCAAGTTCCAGTGCTCTTACCGCCAGTGTTATGAACTCTTCGTCAACGTCGTGTGTGGAAGAAACATCACACTTGGGTTCTGGAATGACAAACGTGAGTAAAACATTAGGCCAGCCGGTTTAGCTGAGAACGAACAGAATCAAACGAGAAAGCCGTATGCGCACTAACTAAATGACTTAATAACTGACTGGCTGATCGGCTGACTGGCTGATCGGCTAACTGGCTAACTGACTTACTAACCCACTGGTTCATTAGTTAATGAATGACCTACCGACCTAATTACTGACAACTTGACTCACCGATTGACTCCCTGACCCGCTGACTCGCTGACTCACTGACTCACTGACTTACCAACTCACTGACTGATAAACTAACGAACCAGCTTACTGCCTGACTAAGTCACTGGCTCGTTAACTCACAGCCTAACTCGCTGACTCACCGTTTTCCTGACTAACTCTAAATCCCTTACTGATCAGCCGACTCACTGACCCACTGACTCACTGATTATAACTGACTGACTGGCAAGTGAATGGATTATTGATCAATTTGTGTTTTTGTTCTAGTCGACACGCCAGATCCATATGTCAAGTTATTTATCCCCACTGCTCCGAATGGAAAGAAGAAAACACAGACAATAAACAAATCTAATAACCCTGTCTGGAACAACGAATTTAAGTTTCTCATCGACAGAGAGCTGGAAAACGTTTTATGTGAGTATAGCGACCAGGAACTTTGTAAAAGGGAAAATTTCACCTTTTTCGCCGTCTTTGTAATAATTGACGCGGTTTTGGTCTTCTATTCCTCAGATATTACACTAATGGAAGATGATACATTTAGTGACGATTTGATCGGGGAAACAGAGACATTTCCCTTGAGTGGTCTGGAAATTGATAGAATTTTGCGTAAAACCTTCATATTTCGACAGGTATTCAAATTGTTGACGTTTTTTTAAAATTGTGTAACGAATAAACGTGACTAAAAGTATTTATCTTTGTAGGAAATTCTCTATTATCTTTACATTTATTGATGTTCAACGCTTAATTGTCGATGAAGAGTGTTCACCGATATCTGTTTCACAACGTGACACACTTCCGTGTTTTACTTGTCACTGATCGAAAAAAAATGCGGCACACTCTAGTTGGAAATTTCTTTCCTGAACTAACCGATTGCGTTTTTAATCAGGCTGTAAGCTCGACTAGAAGATGTGTTAAAATCGTGAAATGTCTTTAAACACTTCTAACATCGTCTACTTATTTGATCATTTTTGCAGATTTCAGAGGTGGACATTACGCTCGAACTTAAAAAACGGTAAATTTTCTACGCTCTCTTATTAAAGGTCATATTGCCATCAAATCTCTCAACAGTAAACTGAAAATAATTATTCACTTTATAGTGACGAGCCACGGGACATGCGATACAGCGTGGAACTATGCCAAGACGAGATCGATTTTCGAGAGAGTAGAAAGCCTTTCCTGTTTCAAGCTATGAAGAAGCTTCTCGGCCCAAGAGCACCAAAGAGTATGGACGAGGTTGGCCTATTTTTCCTTTTTTTTTTTCCTCGTGATTTCCTTCTCATTAACGCTTTTTTGTAAAGTCAGGCTCGGCCAAGGGTTTGAGGTATTTAGATATAACTAAAATATTTCTAAAAAGTTATCTCGTTTTTCAAGAATTTGTTTGTTTTATTACATCAACACGATTCAACAACTTTCGGTACTTTAAGGTATTCGGTACGATAGTGTTTTTAAACAAGTTTGAGGTATATTTTTTTGTCTCGTAGGGTACAAATCCCTACTTGCCCTCCCCCTCCCCTCCTCTCACATTCACCCGGTCGATTGCTGACCGGGTGAATGTGATTTTCTCAAGAACAGATGAATCCTTTCTACCCTGAGGTGTCTGATGCTCACCAATTCAAAGTATTTGGAGACAGTGTCAAAATATGGTTCATATATGGATTACGTCACTTATTTGTTGTCGTCATTTTCCTCCTAGATGCCAACTGTGGGTATTGTTGGGTCTGGAGGTGGTTTTCGAGCCATGGTTGGCCTAAGTGGTGTCTTCTGTGCTCTTAAAGACATGGGTGTGTTGGACTGTGCCATGTATGCCGCAGGACTGTCAGGGTCAACTTGGTAAGTTTGTACAAGAGACTATAGTGTTCTTTAGAACCGGAGACAGCTTATCGAGCTGTATACAGGGGGGGTTAACCTGGGTCTGCTTTTTCTCAGTGAAAACACTATAGCTTAAAACTGCGTAGTATCACAATGACACGATGTCAATCTTTTACTTATTCTAGGTACCTCTCCACTTTATATTCTCATCCCAAATTTCCATATATACATCCAAAGATAGTTATGCAACAGGTGAGACATAACGTGCAATATAACTGGATCTGGCTGTTAACACCTTCGTGGCTGTACAAGCACATCAAAATCATCCATGAGAAAAAAGTACGAGGCCAGCCAATCAGTTTTACTGATTTCTTTGGCTACCTTGTGGGTGAAACCATCTTGAGAGACGTAAGTGTCACTTGAGATCCTATCAATGTTTTTCTGATTGATTACTGAAAAAATGACACGACGAAAAGATTCCACAATCCCTGCAGAATCAGCAGAACCATGCACGAGTTCATTTGAACTCTTGTCGCAGACTCTATATCGTGGCGCCGGTTTTTAGATTTCTTTTCGTGTACAATTTATGATCACGCTCAGTGTGTGATTGCGCTCGCTCTGTAATCATACTCAGTCTGTGATCACGCTCGGTCTGTGATCACGCTCTTGTCGTCTAATTTAAGTCTACCAATAACCTTTTCATGTAAAGCATGTTTGTTGAATATGTTAAGAAGAAAAATGCCACCTTTTCAGCCGCTCTATTTGTTTGCTTCCATTCCTAAGAGCCGCAATTTTTGTAAAGTAATTTTAAATTAACTTTTTTTTCAGCGCAAAACTATTCCGAAACTGAGCGATCAACGTGTTGCAGTCAAATTTGGAAATGTTCCCCTTCCGCTCTACACCTGTGTGCACGTGAAGAATAATGTTTCTGCAAAGAGCTACAATGGTAAGATTTCAAATATTGTTCGTTAAAGTTATGCCAGGGTGCGCAGCAAAAATTCCAAATATCAAAGGGAGACAAATTTAGTGCGATAAAGAAACAAGGATCATGGATATGATGAAAGTTATGATGCGGAATTGCAGATGTTGTACGTGCAATGCAAGGTGTAAATGCGTTAACTTATGTGATGCGTTCTTTTTACCAAGAATGGATGGAGTTTAGTCCTTATGAAGTGGGGATGACTAAATATGGCACTTTCATGAAAACGGAGCATTTTGGATGTAAGTTTTTCTGTGGATACCTTCACACAAAGTATCCTGAACCAAGCCTGGAATATCTTCAAGGTTAGTAACACTTGAACAATTTTCCTGCCTGTTGTCCTTCTACTATGAAGAAGATGATGATGACCTTGTGGGGGCTCGTGGGGGTGCTAAACTGTAGATTTAGGTCATCGAATTTGAAGGCCAGGCGGCATGGCCTTTTTCCATCCCAAACTATAAGGAGGTTACAACAAAATGTCTAGATACGTTGGCTAAAAAATTTTGTAGATGCCCTGTCGTGCACTATAACTACATTTAGGATTTCGTGTAGGTCGCCTTTTGTTCAAATATGGATCGATTGAAAATTTTTTATCTCTGATATGTACGTAAAGTACAAAAACGTTATTTTCAGGGAAGTTACGCATGTCTTTTTTCTTAAGAAAAAAAACTCTTGCATAAACATTTGAGCTAAATAAACATTTGCAAAGCTTTGAAATTTTCCTTCCCCTTCTCTCCATAAGCTCCTTAAAAAATATTCTAATGGTCCGTCACAAAAGAAATCGGGAAAAGACGACGTAAGTCGAATAGCAAACGAAACCAAGCGTGTTTTGTACACCAAGCTGACATTCCCTCTTTTCCTTTCCCAGGCATTTGGGGCAGCGCCTTTACCATTTTACTCCAGCGCATACTCGGTGAGGGTCAACCACCGAGCGCAATTAAAAGAATTCGCCGCAGCTCCTCCGTTATGAGAGAGGACTTACGTATGTATCTCTTTTACTTTATGTGTGGCTAAAAGTACTCTTTAGAGCTTTATGGTCTAACCCATATTGTTTTCCTGGCTATTTATTCACTAGCTTTGACTGTATAATTTAAGAATAACTGATGTGGTAATTCTGTCTGATTATTTTTTACTAAATTGGTTTGAAATCTGGATATTTTAGACTATGGTGACTTCTGAGCATACAAAAGTAACCAAAATGACTATTACGTTTATTCCAAGGGATTCTGTAGATATTCCTAAGGTTTATGGAGAGACTTGCTAACTTTGATTTTATCACTTCAGTCAAATAAAATCGCCCTAAGTCGCCTAAAGTGGCCTTAAGTCGCCTTTAATCACCTAAAGTTGCAATGTTTTTCATCCCAATTTTACTTAAGTCGCCTTAAATCGCCCTAAGTCGCCGAAAGTTACGGCGACTTAAGGCCCCAGAGTAGGCGTATTCATGATGTGAATATTGGAGATTGTGATCGCTCGTGTTGCATGTAATCGGCTTGGCTGAAGTCGCTCTCAGATGGGCAAAAGGAGGATTTTTGACATACTCGGCAGCCAATCAAATATCTTTCACGCACCAAACGCCACGTGGTCACCCCTGTTTTCTCGTGATTTAAGGCGTATGCCCTTTGTATATGTGTTGAATAAAGACAACCGAAAACACGAGAGGCTTACAAAAAACATCACTCCATTCTCTAGATCAGATTCTGTATCCAGGCAACGGAGATGATGACGAAGAAAGCGACAGTGAAGAAGAGGAACATGATGTTGATGGTCCGAAAGAAGTACCTGTCTTTGATGATGAAGACACGAAGGAACCAAAGGAAGAAGATCACGACGATCCTGGATTGCTGGGAAGAATAGCGCAGAGTTTTATGAACAAGTTCCCTGTCCTCCAAACTCGCTCCGGCCGTGCGGGAAGGGTGCATAATTTCTTACGTGGTCTAGGGCTTGCATTCGCTCCAGTTCCCTCAGGTAGGCCACCGTTATTGGTTGACTTAAAGCTAAAGGCAAATATTTTGTTAAACCAATGTTAAAACAATGAATAGAAAATGGTCCATCTTAGACAAGATGAGTGTTGTAACTTTTTAGCCATGGGTGGTTGCCCGAGGGAACCATTCATAGTGCTCTTAACCTTCATTACATTGCAAACGTTTTTGATAGTCCTTTAATGCTTCTTGTAACACAGAATCTGAAGACGTCACTGATGCCGCTAACCAACTAAGTATGAAGGCTAAGCGCATATTCCTGGCTGACAGTGGGCTCGTGTTCAATTCTCCGTATCCATTACTAATAAGACCCCAGCGAGGATGTGACGTTCTCCTGTCATTTGACTTCAGTGCAAGGGACAAAGAAATACAGTTCCCTTTTGAGGTGATTTGATTGCATTTACTTCAGCTTTACTTTCATATAAGAATATAAATATTAGACACATATCCGGTCAAGCGGGCCAAGACAGTCTCAAATATCTACCTCCTCTCCGAGCTCCTTAGTGTTATTTTCAAATTAATGTCAGTGTCTGAGGTACTGCGCACCCACCCTTCCCCTAACCCAGCAACAGTCAACTGATTACAAAATAGGGTTAATGTTGGGCTAGGGGAGGGAGGGGTTAGTGAGCAGTTGCCGGGTACTCACACGACACTGGTCGGCGTTTTATTCTTATTTTAGTCAAGTTTAATCTATTTCTTGGGCGATTTTCGGTCAAGTTTTGGGACAACAATCCCAAAACCTTATTGAAGCGGTTCTTGATAAAGAATAAACGGTAGAACTAAGCGAATAAAATAAAGTTTGGGGGACAAAATTCTACCTAGTAGGGGAGGTGAGGGGAAAAAGCGTTCTCGCGCGAGCTAATCGCGCGGTTCTATATAAGAAACTAGTCTTTGATTAAAATTAGTCAACACAAGTCAATCAACTACAAATAATCCCGTAGATACATGTGGTCAACAGACTGCCTATTTTTTATAGGAACTTCTGCTGGCAGAAGAATGGGCAAGAAAGAACAAGTTGAAATTCCCTCCCATCAATGCTGAGGAACAATACCAGAAACATGGTCTGAAGGAGTTCTATGTGTTTTCCAATCCTGACGACCCAGAATGCCCTGTGGTCATACACTTGGTCTTGATGAACGGCTCTTTCAAAGACCACAGCCGTCCAGGTATGTTCGGTCACATGATTTACTGCATGAAATACGCCAAAAAGCACCAAAAAATTTAGTCGGTCGAATATCCTTACAAATACATCTCGCCCAATATTCTTGTATTAAAAGAAAGATTTGTACTCATGTGTTACTTTCCCCTGTCCACCAACCCCTAAGGAACCACTCATTTGTAAGTTTGAGAAAATCACGACTGCAGCGGCCCCCCCATATACTCTGTTAGTGACGACTGACCCCTTCTCCACTGCCCTGGAGAGGACCATAGGAACCCCCTCCCCTCAAAAAAAGTTCTCTAACACTGGTCACCGTTGTCCATAAGTCAAAATATTAGCCTTAAACAAGAAGGAAAAGAAAAAGAGACTCAACTCCAGAACATGGCGACTGTAGGTTGCAGCTGCTAGTCCAATGTATCGCCCATACGCATTATCTGCTAACGTTTTGCGTACTTATGGTTTGACCTTCCCAGGTGTACCTCGCAAGACCTCCACAGAAAAGGAATTCGGAGCATTCCACCTTTTTGAGGACCCTGAGGGTCATTACAGCACGTTCAACTTCCACTACTCTCACAAAGCATTTGATCGCTTGACTCAGCTGATGGAATTCAACACGCTCTTAGGGGAAGAAACTATCAAGAATGTTATAGCTGATGGCGTCATACGGAAACGACAGCTGAATGCGATGAAGGGTTCCAGTTAACGCATATAACTTGCTCCACCATTCCAAATATTCAGACGGGGCTCGATTGAACTTCGGACGCTAAGGAAATATTTATATACATCAGTAAATAAAGCATTTTATACTCAGAGCATATACATTGGCGCAGTTGATATTGCCTGGCAGCCATGGTGTTACAAATCGTCATATCCCAGTCTCCATCCACGACTACGTCTTTTTATTCAGTTGTTTTAAACGTGTGTAGTAGCAGGACGCTGATAATGGGTAATGGCTCGTTTAACGCAACACCAAGAGTCCCTGAGTTTGTCCCATAGAACACGTCTTATTTTATCAATATTTATCACTTGGTTTTACTGTTATGGAACCGACCACAAGAAGACAGTGGTAGGGATGGTTCTATTGTGGGCTTAGGGCAAATGGTAAAAATTTAAATCTAAACAACATTTGAAGCTATTCAACCGAACTTTATCCGCACGATTCATAACTATAACCAGACTTCTTGTACAGCTGTGTGAAATGATAATAAAGATACTTTCAAAAGTTTGTGAAATCGGTGTCAGCTGTTTACTAAAGCATTGTCTAAAGGGTGCAGTTGACACTAAATTCGATTTATTATGACGTTTTAAGCTCAATTAACATCGAGTAGTGACTCAATTTTTTTTAGGTCATCTATGACCTCGCATTGCAGATAGTATGTGAAACGAGCCGCAAAATTACAAACAACAAGACACAAAAGGCTTAACTCAAAACTCAATGCATTGGGTTCTGAGTTAAGCCTCTTGTGTCTTGTTGTTTGTAATTTTGCGGCTCGTTACACATCAGGGGTTGTGCGCACTTCGATTGCATTGCATTGTGGTAGCGTTATTTTCAATATAGCGGTAAAAGCGGTAGAAATCGGCAGACTTTGACTGAATATTCCGTAGAAGTTGGGCCGTTTCTTTCCCTTTCACCATAGGTAAATATAATTTGATATATTCTGAACGTGTAGAAGTATTTTTCGTGCGTATTTGTTACGTATTAGATCATAGGTCAAATTCGTCGTAGTTTGAAGCCTTTCAAAGATTTGTATGGCCACTTTGATCCTTCTTCAACGGCTCTGACCAAACGCGCTCAAAGGCGCTCCAACGGTACAAATGTTTTCTGCATTTTAAGTGATAGTGTTTGAGACGCTTTTGTGGAGCTAAAAGGCCCGCGGTTGTGTTTAGTGTATTGCGTTACATAGCGTTACCACTGCAAGGACATTTATCGATCGTGTTGTAAATCTACTCTCCTAAGTGAATTAAAATAAAATAATCACGAGTGTTGTGTGGTAAATCTTCTATCTTGATCAGTGAATGAAGGACAGTTAAATTAGAGCAATGAAAAGAGTCACTTGATCCATGAAAACCTCTCACGAGGCGACACGCCGGAAAGCCGGGAAGCAAAAGGCAGTCGACTGTTGAAAGGTGTTGATAGGCCCGTGCGTCTCCTACCATTCGCTAGCGCTTTTAAATCTAACCTCAAAGTTTAGCTCTTATTTGGATATGATATCTCCTGATGACTTTCCTTTGCGATGTGATAATAAGGGTCAGTTTTGAGGCGTCATAATTCCCCATGCACCTGTCTGTTCTTGAGGTTTGGCAAAGCCGGATGAGATTGTGTTACAAAACGCAATATTTTCTTCTGAGCGCTCGCTATTTTTTTTTTTTTCAGAGTATACTTCTCTCCTGAAGTAATAACTCCAGAGATACGTTTCTCAAAACCCTCATAAAGGTTTCCTCTATTCTCGGCGGGTATTTTGAAATTATGTACGTTTCTACTAAACGTGGAGCGCTACAAATTCGTTCTTTGAGATATGGGGCTTCTCCTTTTACAAATCCCGTATTTACGCTCGGTGGAAAAAGTTCGTCTATTGCAAGGTCTCTGTCTCTTTAATATACGTTTTCATGTCAAGGGTCAATTTACAGTTGAATAACTCGCGTCTAGGAATATAATTTCTGACTTTGAAATTATTCATCCCGCCATTGGTGAGTGTAACTGTTGCCATTTGTGTCGAGATTCTTGGGCAGATTGCAGTTTCGAATCTTTCTAAGTAACGTCAGTTGCCTCCTAAGAACGAATTTGTCACGGAGGAATGACAGGTGTGGCGCAGGCCTGTTAGACGTCTTAACTTTCGAAGGAATGGCAACAGACAGTGAATCCCCATTACAATCCACGTATATTCAAGCTATCTCGCTGCCACCAAAGATGTTCACTCCAACGCGTCAAGATGCAAATGACTCAATTTTTGTTTTACGACCATGATGAAACGCAATCAGAGTGCGCACACTGCCTGGTTACACATACTATCTGTAATGCGAGGTCATAGGTGACCTAAAAAAAATAGTCACTACTCGCTTTGTTGTTGCACACATGTGACCTTTTGGTAAGGTCGCCTAACGTAAAACAATCCCTACTTTAATCCAGTATGTAAACCAGCAAACAGCCTTGAAGCTACTGTAACGGTCGGCATGTACTAAAACCCGGAACACCAGAACACTGGAGGAACATCCTGGAACACCGGAACATCCCGGAACACGGGAACACCCCGGAACATCACGGAACACCGGAACAGCCGAAACACCCCTGAACACCGAATTTGACGGTGTTGTTTTGTTTTCCCATTACGGATCATGTAAAAAATAAAATGTAAATGTTTTTTGTTTACCCACGTACAACGAAAGAGCTTAGAGCTCGTTACAAAGTGTACGTGTATGACATCGAATTTGAATTTAAAAGTGTTGGTTTTTGTGGAGGGAGGAAAACCGGAGAACCAAGAGAAAAACAAACTACAAACTCTACCTTCAATGAAGGGGGGTCCGGGAAGCGAACCCGGGTCACATTGGTGAAAGGCGAGTGCCATTTCACCACTGCAGCTCCCACTATGTGATTCCACGTTCTCGTTGCCGTTGCCGTAGCCGTCGGGGTTTGCTTAAAGTCCCCACAGACGTTTTCGGGGAGACGGCGACGTGACAACCCAGGTAGACTGGGTCAGAGGTTGCCGTTTTCGCGCCATGATTTAAGTTGTTAAGATTCTGTTGACGGCCAGCCTTTGCGACTTCTGCAACTTCGTCGAGTTTATTTGTTGCGCTTTATAAATTAAGCATTTTTTGTCGTCCACTCCATTGTGCTGTAAAAAGTAGTCGGTGTTAGAATTAATTTGGAAACAAGAATTAAAGACACTTTTCATAGAGCTACATTGTGATCAGAATATCAATGTCCTATGGCTTTAAGATCATATAGTTTGAAAATGAGAGATGTACAAACAGCAACAGTTCGTTCTAATATCAGTTGGAGTCGTTATTAGAACTCAGTTCCACTGAGTTAACACAGTTAAACGCTTTCAGAGATACTCAACTTACGGGAGCTCATACACTACCGAAGAGAAGCCAGCCTTTAGCTACATAAGGAAAGTCGGATGCGATCAGAACTTTATTTAAGTATATGACGTTTCAGTCCAAGACTATGCACTAAGCTAAGAAAATGTCCATAGATCTGAGGTGTACGGACTGTACGTTTTCGAGGTGCATCTACGAATTGATAAAGGGAATGGCGGCACGCAAAAATTCCCTTTTATGTTAAGAATTCAAGTACTGTACGTATACGTGCGCGCCCACTTACCTCGACGATTTGAAACGTTCACTGTTGCTTCGATCATTTTAACCTAAAGAGAAAACATTGAAAAGGTCTCTTGAGTTGGCCGAGACATCGTGTGATGATTTGTGCGAAATGTGATAATGCAATCACTTTAATACAAGTGACAAAATTGGCAAAACATTAAAAAAAAAACAAACAAACAAACAAGATCAACTCATGTTTTCACAACGACGGTAAACTCACTGATCTCACGTCGCCTACGAGAGGGCGACGGAGGGCGACGGCGGGGCCGCATGCGTAGTCAATATCGCCCCAATTTTAATAGCCTGCGAAGCGAGCCCTGGGGGAGAGGAGGTGGAATTGGGGCGAG